CGAGCTGAACCCATGTGACCTTACTAACCCGGCTCTGCTACGACTTCTGACTGCCAAAGGCCCCAAGGACCGAAGCAGCAAAAGACCAAAAGCAAAAGCCGAACGCCAGCACAGTCCCCAACCTCTCAGCCCGGCTACAGACTGGGCAGCTTCTCCATGGGGCGCCTCATCCGGAAGTGGCGGCACCCACTCCTCCGACCGACAAATTGGACTTTGGCAGGACATGGGCCCCTTCTGATCCAAGGATGTGATATCCCTGCACTGATCTGACATGGCTTTAGCGCTTTTACTTGGCCTGCCCAACATGTTGTTCCTGGCGGCTTTGCCCTTGCTTTGTTGTGGTATGCCACCATTCTGCAGATGCTTCCTGGTGCCGCGTTTCTACTTACCTTCTGCCTTCTGCTTGTTGCTGTTGGTGGTTCGTTCTTGGTTTCTACTTACCTTCTGCCTTCTGCTTGTTGCTGTTGGTGGTTCGTTCTTGATTTCGAGGCCCTTGAACACCCCGTAGACACTCCCCAGCAGCTACCTGAACAGAAATTCCTCGAACTGATGTCTGCTGTTGCAGCGACCAGGAATTAACATGGTGATGTGCTTCTTGTAGGTCTGATTTTTGGGCATCTTTTGACAGAGTTCAGATCGCATGGCAGGATCGTGCGTTTTGCTAGCGCATGCTGGCCATCGATTCTGGCCAAGAGCAAAACCCAATGCATGCACTGAAGCCGCACATGAACCAGACACGCTAAACCGTCAACATGATGCTGCCTCATGGCCCTGTGGCTCCATACCTCGAAAGCCATAAAGAAAAGCCGCATCTCCATCTTGAACCTGCAACGCCTTTCGACTTGATGTCGAGCCCAGCATTCTGAAACTTCGGGCCTCGGGCTTCTGCAGTGCGTCTCCGCGGCGAAGCAGCTTTACCATGTATTCGCTATCCGAGTCGGAGATCCTGAGTTAAACAAGGCTTGGGAAAGGGTTGCTGGACCTGCTTTGGGTCCCTCTCATACCACGATTCTAAGGAGCTGCACAGGTTAATAAATAATTTGGATATGATAAACAAGTTTAAGAGCAGGATGCACCCTTCAAATTCTTGGGCTTTTTGATAAGGAAGTTGGAACTGAAACTAAAACTGGTTCTTCTAGCCGTTGTGCCTCGTCGCCCTAGCCATCCGGACATCGGATACCATGCCTTTCTGAGATGCCGCTCCCAAGCTTAAGATCAGAAACTCAGAGCCCAGGTGCAGAATCCATGGGGCAGGCCCTGCAGTTCTTCGAAGGATTTGCGCCCAAAACCTCGTGTGTAGGGCGTGTGGCTCAGGCACATAGCGTACACCGCGCACGAACGGGGCGGGGGTCGAGGCATGCTGATTGCTCCACAGCCCAATCCCACAACAATCCCTGGCAGTGGCAAAGGTACGGACAGTGGTCCACAGTCTACGTAGATTTGCACCTTCATGTCATTGGTGGCAACAGCAGAGGGAAGGTCTGCAAGTAGTCAAGCCGCCAAAGCAAAGCAGCAAAAATATCATAGCAATCGTACTGACAGTCCGAACGAAGCTTTGCACAAGTTGCCGTCGTAACATATATATGGGCAAAAGTAGGTTGAAGGAGCTCAGGTTTGGTTAGGATAGGTTAGAGTTAGAATAGGTAACATTCAAACTATGATAGATTTGGTTCACTAGACTATGTTCGAATTAAGTTATGTAGGTTAGAGTCGGAGAGGAGGCTACATTAGAGTAGATTAACTTGAACTGGATAAGATTAGATAGGGTTAGATTGAACTAGATGAAGTCAGCTTCAGGTAGACGCATAGATAGATAGATCGATAGATAGAACTAGAGATAGTTAGATGGATAGAGTAGCATTCTGGATAGTTGCTTTCAAGGCCAGAGACGAAAAGAGAGAAAAGTAGCACAACACGACCCTCAAACAGAACAGGACTCGGGACGACGTTGGAGTTGAGGCCGAGAGACAGAGCTACTGAGGTAAAACTTAATGGTGAGTTGTTGCGACTTTCTTTCGCAACAGGCAGATTCACGGTATAGCGCCATTCAAGCAAATGACCAATACTGCGCCTTAAGGACCCGGGCTTCAGGATTCAAGCTGTCAGACATCGGCGAATCTCCCGGATTTTTGTGAGATCCAAGAGCCGAAGGTTGTGATCGGCATGACTCCGTGTATCTGAGTGTCATACGCACTGACCTCCCCGAGTGTCAAAGCACGTTCCTATGCAACTCAAGAGCGAGACTATTGAGCTTGTGAGGGACCAAACTCAGACCCAAATCCTGGCCCCAAACTCGGATCCCCGAAAGCCGCTCCAAAAAGCAAGCGAAAGCCAGGAAGCTCAAGACTGCTATCCGAAGCACAAAGCTGGATCGTCCTTGGCGATGCGGCTACGGCGGCTACGGATTCAGGCTCTTCCCCCACGCTTGAAAGACTCGACACACTTAAGTCCCTACTACCCATCCGCATTCCAACCGATTTGGCAGGGCGCCATGTCGCCCATGAAAAAGCGCAACCAGGTCGACTACACCCACGGCGCCACATGTGCACCGGCATTCACTTCGGATCGCCCACTGACAAAACCTCGAAAACCTGGCGGGGTTTTGAACAGGAACTTCGCAAACGGCAGCGTTCTCAAAGTGGCTGATTCGACTCGGCAACTCTCAGGGTAAACTGCGGTTTCAGCAAATCTTGTCATGACGTCCTTTCTTTGAGCCTGCTCATGGTGCTTATTGCATAGTAGCATGCTGCAGTCAGGCTTCTGAGCGACTTCGATCACGTCGTAGGCCTCCCGCTCTGGTGCAGAGCTTTGCAGCGTTGTGCGGTCCCAAACGAACATCAAATGCGGAGTTGAATGCCCGCCTCCAGCGTCCCCACGATGGGAGAGAAGATGCTCGGTGCAGCGCGAATGTTGTGGTAGGACGTAACCTGGGGGTCCACCTGAAAAGGGCAATCGTAGATCTAAGCCGACAAGGGTGGTGTCACCTGTCGACATACGACGGTTCACATTGTTCCTTCCCGACAAGCCCAACATCAACTTAGATCTAGATTGGAATCAGACTCATGTGCTCCGAACCTCAAGAGATGCCGAGGCAGACAAATCATGAATCCCCGGCCGCTGCAATCTTGACCCCCGAGAAGGGATCACAGGGCTTTGCCGGGTGTTGCAGGGGGGTTCATAAGCTTTACACATGTGTTCGGTTCTGGAATGTGCTGCTGTCGGGGACCAGCATCATCCAGGTCACAACAGAGCCATGGCGAAGGATCCAAAGGTTGGTTGAATTCTGCTGCACGGTCTTCAGCTTTTGACGCAAGGCAGTGGTCATCGCCGCCAGCACCAATAGTCGATGCAAAGGCCGTTCGATTGTGCCATTAGTCTGCAGCACATTCATCCGGGCTCGACATGTTTCGCCGTGTCCGAGATCAGTGTTACTCAACACGGTGAATCGGCCGTAACCGTCATTAGGACATTGGCGAGGTAGTAATAGTGCCTGGAATGCCGGCTCAAGTGTGAATTGTATTAAGCATACTTGTCACCAACAAGCCCCGAGGTCCTTACCTGCCCAGCAGCAACGTAGGCTGAGTTCTGAGAAGACCACCAGCCCCAATGTATCCTGAAAGCCCAGAACACAACGACGGAGCCAGAGAGCTTTTACGGAGTGTGTGAAACCAGTACCCCCCCCCGCCCCCCCCCGCACACACACCTAAATAAACCCTGCACCCATCAGTAGGTGCCAAGAAACGACAGACTTTGTGACGACCACCTCAAGCCATTGTTATGAGCCTGTAATCGATAGACTAAGCGCGACTACTGGAGCCCTCAAGCCCCCAACCGATCACGTGGGCGATGGACAGCTTGTCATCAGCCAGCCCGATCTTGTGAGCAACACACAATGCTAGGACAAACAAACCATATGGTCAGAAACCTTGCACCGCTATGCATGTCGGGGACCTTAGGAGGTAACACTCCTTGCAACTGCAGTGGTCCACTCCACGTGGCCTGATAGAGCCCCGGGCCGCGGTGTGCTGCACGGCTCCGCCGGAGTTGGCGTTCTGCTGCGGCCTCTGCCGCAGAGGCCTCCAAGGTTTTGGAGTGTGACAGTTTGCTTGGTGGCTGGCTTCTCACTCGATAGAGCTTCTCCCGGCTTTGTGGGCTGCATTGAGGCTGCCTATAGGCCTATAGGCTTCTGATTGCAGCAATTCGAAAATTGGAGACCCCGTCTTGCTTCAACGAGTTCAGATTGTTCGAGCCATGGGAGGCTGGCTTGTGGGCCGATTTGGCATCCGGCTGCCGGCTGTCGGATATGAGTGCAGCCTAATGCAGGTGGCATAACATTTGAGGTACAAGCGATTTCGAACTGCAGGCTTATATTTGGGAGTGAAGGAATAAAATGCATCCATCTGCTATACTTACGTCTAATCTATGACTCAGAAGCTGAATGGTAGCCAAATCTGAGTCTGAGAGGCCTGGTGCATCTTGGCAGGGTTGGAGCCTTGCCGGGAGACCGAAGGCTCGACGTCCTAAAGTATCCACGATACTCCTGGACTCGGGCCCCAACACGATCGTAGCATTCAGGACTGGGGCTCAACCAGCAACGGATTGCGATCTCACTTTGACTGTCTCGTACATACAAAACTTGCTGGCGGCAGCCGACGAGGATGGGTTTCATGTATGAACCGTGGCAATGAGTTTTCTTTCAACCAGCACAGATCTCCGGCAACATGCTGTTACGAAGAAACATGACCCCTTGAACGTCGTGCTGACAGGGAGCCTGCCAAAGAAGGCACGTCATGTCAACTACCCAGATGACTGCAGTGTGACCAAGTAGGATGCTATTCTGGAAGCTCCTTCCCCATCCCCAAGCTGTCTGAGTCACCCCTCAGTCACCTCCGCTCCAAGTCCACGTATGGTCTGAGTAGTTTTAAACACCTGGCTCGAGGTCCGTCATGCAGTATTGGTAGCCTTCTAGACAGGAAACCGGTGTGCTAGTCGGAAAATCTATGAGAAGGGTAGACCTCCACCTCAAAACGCGAACCGGTAGCGTGATCCGTTTGCGCCGGCAGCGGCATGCGCAAGTGGTCCTACAGCCATGAGTTCTCTCCTTTGGAGATACGCCACGGCGGCCCTTGCTTTGTGGGGGAGAAATCAAGTCGTCCGTAGCTGCAGGCTTTTTGTGCCTGGGTTTCAGGTTTGCTGCAGTCGGGTTCACGCCGGATCAGGACTAAGTGGGGCGAAGGATGAAGTTGGGGCCTTTGGGCATGCAGGCGTGTGTAGCAGCCATTGTGTCTCCCAGTTGTCCTGGGACTAACTTTCGGCTTGTGAGTGATGCAGGGTATTCAGCAACAGGATGGGCCTCTGATGCATCTTCAGAGCCATGAATCATCTAATCTTCTATGGGCAGTTCCCCGCCAGCTTGAGCGGTGTCACGGCAGCGGCAGTCGATCACCCTCGAGCCAAGCATTAACAGAAAACAGCCTCAGCACGACTTGGCAACAGCAAAAGAAATGTCTCCCTGCCAAAGCTCGGTTGCCTGAGCTGTGTTCTCCTCATCTGCTAACCTTTGACATGTGCTCAACACATTGCACACAGCCTGCGAAGGGGTGCGCACCCGAAAAGAAGTTAGGGTGATTGTATCCTAGTCATATCTGTCATATCCGCATGCATGCCCCAAATACAAATCCTCATCGACATAGTTTTTTAGGCCCTCCAAGTAGTGATCCAAAAATTAACCTGTATGTGTCGATGCTCATCTGCACTCATTGATCAGGCAGTTCCCTGGAGTAAGCACTTGTGTGGGTATGTGTGTGTGTATGTATATCTATATATTTACTCACATAGGTACATACAAACATACGAAGGAGCACATCCGTACTTCGATGATATGTGCATATATATATATATATACATATGATGTATGCAACGTATACAGAGATAAAATTAGCAAGCTTCATTAGGTCGTGAAAGGAGCCAGCCCCAGGCCTCAGTCACTTAGAGGCGTAGAGTGGCTCGAAGAGCCGCGGCTACGGCCAAGGAATTTGTCGAAGCTCCTCCGAGCCGCGGGCAACGCGCTTTCGTGGACCAGCCGCAGATAAGCCGGCACTGTTCCAGCCTTCTCTCAGGTTGAAGGATTGTGGGTGCAGCTTTGGGGTTTCAGGAGTTAGGGCTTCAAGCTTCCCGGGTCAAACTTGTGAAAGTCACAGAGCTGTGCCCATGCTTGTTCTCGTCGTGCCGGCTTCGGCTTCAGCACTGCCAAGCCGCAGCAGAGCCTAACATCCGGAGAGTCCTCCTAGCTTCTCATCTGAGTACAGAATCGTGGAAGGGACCGAAGCCTTGCAATGCACCATGACCAAGAGCCGAAAGGCTCCCTAGTTGCCCCTGGGACCTACGTGCTTGCGGTGCCTCCGTGGCCCAGGTTGTTGGCCTGAGCTCGACTTCAAGGGTTTCAGCGGTTTCGACTTTAAGGGGAGGTAGATGGGAGATGTGGAGAAGTTTCAGAATAGCAGGTATGTCAGTGAAAACTCGAGCATTTGTAGTATTAGAGGCGTGGCTGAAGACGCTGTGGATAGAAAAATACCATATGCACTTTAAAAACCGACAGAGTCCAGTCCAGTCTCTGCAGTGCTACTGACGTGCTCGTTGCTGCTTGTACTACAGAGTCAGAATGGCACTAATGCCCATTCGTGCAGTCGTAGCGTCGTGGTCGTCGTTGAACCCTTCCTGTTCCGAAGGTGGATTTAGATATAGTCATTCCCTGATCAACTTCAATTCAAGACTCGGGGTTGCAGGTTCGTGCTGCAGTATCGCTGCCCCAGCTGTTGAGGGATAGCAACTTAGTGAAATGCAAATGACCATTCAACCGGTGCCTTGGCACCGAATAAACCGTCGTGTTTGAACGAACACGCCATTTGCAGTGACACGCATCAGTGGTACTGGAAAGAGCACGAACGCACGAGACTGAGAGAGAGAGAGAGGGAAAGACAGAGAGAGAGAGAGAGAGAGCGTGAGACAGAGACAGAGCGAGAGAGAGAGAGGGAGAGCGAGCGAGCGAGCATGTGCAGACTTGGGGTGCGTGGCCATTCTCCGAACCTGGTTTGGGAGACCTGCAGCAAGGACGACGTGGTTCCATACCCCGAGGCCAAGCCCGCGGCACTAAACGATTCCGCCGGGCCAGAGGATATCATCCCAGTCCCCATCACGGGAACCTCCGACTCGGGGAGCTCTGAACTCAGAGGGACTACTTAGTTATGTTTTCACCACCAGGGAATTCGAAGCAAAAGAGAGCCAGCCAGGAATTCCTGCCTTTACTCGAGGAGCTGTGATGCCCAAGAAATAGAAAACAAACATGTACCTGATCACAACCTTTGTGTCGCATGTGATTCGATGGCCGTGCGAAATGTCTTCAACGGTGCGACCTACTTAACAGTACGACCAACTTACTTTGTTGGACCGCGTAACCCCGCTCCTTCTCTGAACCCGCGAATCACGTCCAGGCGCCTGGTTGTGGGCGAACGACGGAATGGGCATGTGGCCGATCGGGCCTTGGCTCTTTTGAAGATTCATCGGCCACGCCCATGCGTGTGCGAGGGAAGCAGATTTCAATGCGCCTCCGAGGCGAACAACACTCCCATACGCTAATGAGTCAGAGAATGTACGCATCAGTGGTCAATGGTAGAAGGTCTCTGCATGCATTGCGCTCAAGAAACCTAGTTCGTGAAAAGGACCTGAAATGTGCTAAACTCAATGCCCTGGAGCCTAATCCGACAAACCCTTTTCGGGATGCCCACAGACATGTCCAGATGGCCCTCAGACTGCGTTCACAGGTGCAGCTCAAATCCAGAAGCCATTACATGTGGTTAGCCAGAAACGAAACTCCGAAAGCAGACTTGAAGTTGTCACTTCTGGCGGTTTACACGGAAGTGGGCTGGGAGATGCTCAAGTCCTCAAGCAGAGGACAGAAGCCTCAAGGAGGGGAAGCCTGAGTCCAACTACAGCTGGATGCCCGGAATGCCTGAAGCACCCTGGCCACCGGATCTTTGGCAGTCAGAGAGCCACCACCGGACGCTGGCACAGGTATGTGCTGCCTTGGAGCGGCCAGACTTCTTGCAATTCTGGCCGCTTGAGGATTTAGGCCAGGTAGGTCTGCTGTTATTTCGGCCCGAAAGTGCCAAACTGCAACAGCCAGAGGCTGAAGTCCTAAACCCTCTGACCCACAACCAAAACCTCTTCGCTTCCACTCTGTGTTGTGCTTCCTACTCCAGGTGCTCAGACGCAGGATTTCGGATTACAGAGGTCTGAGTGTGCCAGTTCACATCTAGGACCTCTAGGATGCAGATTCATGGTGAAGATGAATAGCGTAACCAAAATAACCGCGGCAACCCAGTATAAAAAATTCACAAGGCCGCATCCGCCCCATCTCTCAATGCTTAAGCAAGCCTTGCAGACACGGCAGATCCGAAGACTAATCGGAACGCTTCTAAAGCCAGAGCTCCAAGCTATAGCAGGCGCAATCCACCAACCGTGTGCCTGAGTCAGCCCATCAAACAGCCCTCGGCATGCACGCTCAAGAATGAATATGCATAACAGACGAGGTGCAACGGCAGCCCAGAGAGAGGCGCTTGAAAGTGGCTGCTCTGAGACAGTTGTTCAAAGGTCTGCTGCATGCCTGGCTGGGAGCATGGAGCAAGCATGCATGAGTTGGACGTTCCGATGAGTCAGTGGGAGCCATCTTAAGCCCCAAGAGCTATGCGTTGTTCAAAGTCGAACTCGGGCAGCCTACCGAGGTATCAACCTAGTCGTAGAGGCACATGCACCTTGAAGTGACACTGGCTGCGAGGAGGAGGACGAAGCCGCGTCCTTTCACGTGTGAATAGCTGCTGCTCGGCTTCGGACCCATGCAGGTTAGCATCTTGGGTCTGTGGATTGATGATTCAGTGTTTTGTTCTTGAGTATTGAACTTTCACGAGCCTTGTTCCGAGGTTAACAACAAAAAGGGCGCTCCGGTCACAGAGCGCCAAATCTAGAAGTCCCAGGGAATTGGTTTTGTTTGTTGGTGTTTATTGCAGCCGAAGCACCTCGCGGTAGGTCTTGGGGGCGGGGGGGGGGGTGAGCATATATATATATATATATACATAAGTATATATAAATATGTCGTATACATACATACATACATACATACATACATACATACATACATGGACACCCCCGCCAATGACCTAGCTCGGTCTCTTTTCCATCGTAAAAAGCCGCGACAAATGCTCTTGGGATGAACTAGCGTTTTGCATCATCTTCATGGATGATCTCAAGTCGTGTCTTTTTACAGTCCCACGCATCATGTGTTCAATGGTGTTCACCCAATTCGTGCACACTCGTGCCCGCTTCAATCTTATTGATGTGTGCCATCAAGAGCAAGAAACCTTTAAAGAGACTATACGACGGACACCAACAAACACAAACATCCACAACCTTTGCCAGATCCCTGCAACTTCTTGTCTCTGGTTTTCTTATTGGAATCATGTTGTTGATCTTTAAATTTCTGTGAAAAACCAACAAGAACTGAAGATTTTTGGGATTCCTTCCAGCAAAAATCGAAAACGGAAAACTTAAAAACACAAAACACATCCTTGGTTTCGTTGAGGCGAAACACAAAACACCCCCTCGATACGTTCTCGGGCTTAAAAGAAGCATAATCCTTGTGGGGGCCATGAAACTGTTGGATTTTTGGGTTCCTAGGGCTGTTTTCGCTGCTTTTTTCCTTTTTGTGGGATCGAGCGCCTTTGCCCAATGGGGGGGTGGATTCAGATGTGGGATCATCGGCCTGACAAGGGGTCGGGTTTAGGATACGGGATCAACCGCGCCCGGACGGATTTGAGATGCTAGATAAACCGTCATTGCGTACTGGGGGGGTTCAAGGTTTGAGATCAAGCACCACCATCGGGCGGGTTTAAAGTATGAGCTTAACCATCGCCTGATGAGGGGGCGTGTAGATCGACAGCCACAGCCCAATGAGGACCAGGTTTATGATATGGAGTAACTGCACTCGCCTAATCAGGGGGCGACTTTGGGATGTGAGATCAGCCTTCGAACTCGATTCGATTTAAACTTTCAAACTTCCGAACTCCACACCGCTCGACTTTCATGATGCTGTCGAAACTTCGAAACTCTTAAACTCGAACTCCCAACCTGTCAAACTTTGAACACTCTCGTGGCACCCATCCCCCCAAATGGCGCGGGGGTGGTGGGGGGGGGGGGGGGGGGGGAACCCTTGATTGATGGGTGGGTGGTGACCGGCCCCCGTTATTTGCAGAAACCCTCCATGCGCAGAACTATCGATGTAATCAAATCTCTAGCATGCCGTTTCTGATTCCGGATACGAATTTAGACGAAGGGTCCACCTCTAACACTCAGCACCGCTATGCACGGTTTCAGATCGATGACTGAAGCGAACTATGCAATTTGAAGGAAGCCATTCGAAGGAATTACGGCACGCACATATAACGAGGAAGCAACTTTGCGTAGATAGTGAATGATAGAGATACAAAAAACTATACGATCTTACCTTATCTGATATTACATAGTCTATATGCTAGTATATATATACAGAGAGCATATACTATGTGTTATCTGTTTTGTATTACATATTACATATTACAGATGACATACTATATATATATATCATACACTATATGTTACATGCTTATTATATATATATATGTATGTTGCTTCATATATTGCGTACATTATATACTGAATCACATAGTCTGTTCTAATCTACTAGTCTATAAAATTATATGTCTCATTCGATTATACTATTGCAAACCATATTAGATATTATAACCATATTGTGCATAGTGCAGTATTCCGTTATGTTATGTTATAGTAGAAGGCATAATGCTATATGAAATTTCATATTATGTGTTATTATGGTATATTGTATTACAGGTTAAGTAAGACAAGGTCATATTAGACTAGATTGTTTTAGGTTTATACTGGATGATGTTATATAGTATCGTAATAGTGCATAACAGACTACATTGTACAATATGTATCATAATTGTTATTTTGTGCTATCTACTGTATGATGTATATGATACATACCATATATATATATATACACCATGTAACAGGTTATACAGTTATGCATCTCATATGGCTACGTTTATATTACTACATGTTAATGCATCGGTTGTTATTTTATTCAACAACGTATTTTGCTCACAGCACCGAGCCGAAATCTTTTGCTCCATTTAAGAAATACCTGGGGTAAGCACACAACGAAACATGATAAGTGCGCTTCTTTCATTCATCCCGATGTGCACTCGAATCATCCCAGACTCTGAGCAGCTTATGCACATCTTATGCAGTGTCACACCTAAGTACATTGTCGCTGCAGGCACACCCGACCTGGCCTCTTTTGTCTCGTGCTGATGCTTTTGAAGGCTTGTCCGTAGCCGGAGTGGCCTGGCCAAACAAAGTCTTGAGTGATCAAAACCTTTCAATGTCTCCATGTCATGATCCGGCACACGGAGCCTTGTATCTTCGTGCGATGTGCCGTCTATCGGGGTCCATGCCCGTACTTCAACCACAGACTCGCACGCAGCCTAGAGTCTAGAACCCTCATCGGAGGAGAATCAAGCTCGACGACCGTCGAGTTTTGGGGTAGCTCGGAAGCAGATTCGCGCCTCGGGCTCCGGCGCTGTCTGCTTTTTGGCCAGCTCGGCCTCTTTTGCTCGGATACGCGAGGCCATGTCCTGCTGCAGGGCATGCTTTCACAATCTCGTCCAGCCACTCAAGGCACCGGTCCTGCTGCAGGAACTTTTTCCTGGCCTTCGAAGGCTAGAGGTATGTAGAATCTTGCATCTCACCCGAAGCCTGCGACTGTCCATCCATGAATCAATGGCCTCGGCGTCTTGCGCAGCTCGCTTTGCAGCCATGGTCTTTGCATTGGCGGCAGTCTCTCGGCCTGTGACGCAGTGTCTTCAAATTCCCGAGAAGTAAAGCCTCTGCACCATTCCACACCTTCCAAGTCCTCTCGGAGCTTTCGACGTTTTGCATCCTCCTGTGCATGTCGCACCTGGCACGGCGCATGGCTGATTCTGCCCCACCGAGACAAGCGCCTCAAGTCAGGTGAAGCTACCGACAGCTTTCTGCCCCATGACCTCCAAATCGTGAGCAGCTTTGCGCTTCCTGCTGTGAGTCTCCGTGCTCGTAGCAAGTCTTGCTGAGGTTCCAGGCTTGCAGACATTTGCAGGCTTCCCAGATGCACCCAGTCACCCAGTCCTGTCAAGCTCTGACCGGCGAATCGGGTCCAACCTGAGCGACGAATGATGAATTCTTTGTAACAAACGTGCAGCATGCATGTGCTGCTCTGACGCCGAAGTGTTTCAACCCACACTGCCGCAGCCAAGGAGCAGCAGGTCCTGACCGAAGTGAGCTGCTTTGTTGACAGCAAGACGACTGAATGCACAAAATCACCAAGAGCACAGCAAGAGCAACAATTCATCTGCTCTTAAGAGCGTCCTTTGCCCGAGTCAGCCGATCAAACTTTTCCGCAGCCTGAACGAAACACCGCAGCAGGATGCACCAGTGCATCTGCTGGACATCCAAAAACTAAGCCTCCGGATCGTCTGGATGCCCTTGGACGCATGACAAAGCATCTGTAAGACTTAGTAGACCGTTGACAGCTGCATCGCGCCGAGCGACTGTCTGGATGGCACTTCAAAGAGATTTTGCGGTAGGCGGTCTGCATGCGAGTCTCTTGTTGTCTGTGAGTGTGACATGCAGCGATGCCAGAGTGCCACATGGAAAACAGCGACTTCAGGCAAGTCAAAGATAAGTGTCGGGGGTTCTGATTTTATGTTTGTGTTCCAGGTCCGGCTCCGTACTGGGCGGAGCCTTCTGATCATAAATCCTGCTGCTGTATGCGTCCTGTCCTCTTGTAGCAAGACAGAACACGGATGTGAACACCGTCCTTGATTTCCTTCTCGCCAGCATCGTCTTCCACTTGAAGCAATTCGTAGGGATTCTCCAAGTCATCGTCCTCCGATGACCGCAGGATTCAATTTCAGATGACAGTTCAGGCCAGCTCAGTCCTTGCTCTTGCCCACGGCGGCACCGCCGTCGCCCATTGCCAGCTGCTGAGAATGTTGCCCAATTTACATAGTTGCTGAAAGCTTGCTTGAAGCAGTTGGTGCAACAACTGGCTGTGTTTCGCCTGCAAAGATCTGCAAAGGTGTGCTAGCTGCAGCATCCAAGTCCGAATCCAAGCATCGAAGCGTGAAGTGGCACAGCATGAACCGAAAATACATCACATGACTAGGATGCAGCAGCGAATGACGTTAGTTACTTTCGCCCTTTGCACCCAGGACTCACAATAGATATGACGCCAACAGCCGAGCTCACCCTACCAGTAGTGACCCGCATGTTTTGAAAACCCTAAGATCCAGTTCGAAAACATTCTTTTCCAGGTAACTACACAAGAATGCTTAGCGACGAATAGAAGGGAGAGGTGCATGAGGTGCAACAGGATGGCAAGACCGAAAGAAGTTCTAAGACTCCTTCGTAGAATCGCTTGTCGGCGTGAGCGGGCACCTCCGACGTATCGACAAGCTATGAGCTGTAGAGGGATGAATTTGTTTCGTGTTCGTCCTGCAGTCTGTGGTCTACCCCTTCTACTTGGCCTCGATGGTCGTGACCGGCATGGCAGGTTCAGTCAATGTCATCACCGGCACCTCAGCAGGATGTCCGTGGCACACATGAACAACCGTCGGATCCGGAAGGCAATGCCCCTTCCCAACCCGAACCGTTTCCCAACCCGAACCGTTGAACTGCAAAAGGAATGCCCGACAACTGCAAAACATGCGACGCTTCTGCCTTCCACAGATGGGCACATGCACACGCAAGCACGCATGGGAATGAAACACAATGGCAGGAAGACGGTGGGTGTGGATCTGGGCCTACGGGTGTTGGGTGAGCCAAAATTTATATGCATGTACACATATAGGTTATATACTATATTCTATCATGTGATATTCTATTGTATTCTACTATGTTATATGATACTGTATCACCTTATATCACGTTATATCAGCATATATCACATTATAGCATATTACATCATACTACATCAAAATATGCCATAATGCATCATAATACTACAGAACATACCATAAATTCTTGCACATCACATTATACTCTGTAACATTATGTAGAGTGGGCATGACATTATAAACAATATTATACATCATACAATACATCATCTCGTATATATATATATATATATAT